GTTTTCAAGAAAAAGGTAAACGTAGCACATAGGGACATGGTTTAGTGGGCATGCTGGGGATGAGTTGATGGCTGGACTAGATGATCATAGAGGCCTTTTCCAACCTTCATGATTCTGTATCTCTTTCCTCTATCCTAGGCGGAAAACTGTTACCTTCTCTTATTCTGTCTTCTTTGAATACCATACAGAACCCACCAAAAACAACATGCTATCCAAATCCTATGCAAAATAGACCACAAGGTATAGAGGATGGACACTGCACTATTTGACTAACGCACTTTATAGACCACTTCAGTGAAATACTGTTGACTTGTCAGATACGTAACTGTTTTTTTTTTTGTTGTTTGTTTGTTTGTTTGTTTGTTTTGCCATGAGTGAGGAATATCCTTTTTTGTTTGATGCAGAGTTACAAAATCTTTCATGGCAATGCTTCCAATCTGTCTTACTGATGGGAAAACAGAATTACACCTGAAAGATAGAAAAGTATTGTTTTTTTTTAATTTTCATGTTTTCATCATGAAGCTAATTTGCAGGTCTGCCATTTTTTCAGCCCCCAGTATCTGTATAGGAAATAATAGCTTGTAGTTATTTTCTGGCTGATTGTTCAGTAAAATCCTAGGTGCTGTATTTTTCTAGGAGTCATCCTAGATAATTACAGTTGTTTCATCAAACCCTGAAATTCTTCTGGAATATAGTGCAGCTATCTGATACATATTTAGAAGTCCTCATATGGGAATAATAATCAGAAGACAAAAAGGCTTACTAACATTACCAGAGATGGAATATATGTTCTTTCCTGCAGAAAAATAACAAGTTTAAACTCCCCTTATAGCCAATGATGTTACTTCCTGAGTAGAGATTTAGGGTCTCATGCTATTCTGGTGGTCTCTCTTCCTCATTGTTTTCCAAAACAGTGTGCTGCTGCAGCTCCCTAGCAGCAGTAATTCAACAGAAGTTTTGCTGACAGGGACTGCTGCAGGGCATCTGGTCTGAGAAGCAACAGGAACTCCAGGTTGAATGACAAGACTCAGCACGCAGTCGGTTTGTTTGCAGTATTTACTAGCTTAGGGCTTATTTATTAAAATACAGCCAAAGTCAGGATGAAATTTTAAGCCTTAGAGTTGGTAAGGTATAATTCAAAGTAGGCAGAAGCTATGTAGTTAATCCTGTGGCATTGTTACTGGGCAACTTTTTTTTTTTCCAGGCTGAAAGTATAACTGGAGAAGTGTAGTTTCTCAGGGCTCCTGATGGGAGTGATTCAGTTTGGTAGAAAGATACATCAGTATTATCCACCAAATTTCTTCTCTCAGATTCACCAACCCTTCTTAGCCTAATCTCTATAATGCCACCACTGATGTCAGTGGCAATGGAAGTCAAGTACGCAGCACCTTGGGAGATGAGATGATCTGGCATTAGTCAGAGAGGAGTAAGCAACGGTAGGATGGAGTTCAAGTGTCAAAAGCAAGGCTGGTACCAGCCTTCTCCCTGGTTGTGTTTTTCTTCTGTTTTTCTTGTGAATCCTTTGGGATTAGGCACTGCCTTTTGTAAATCACTAGAGATGACATGATGAGCTCCCTGAAGCAAAAACATTTGATTCACTTAAAACTAAATATTTCCTCTGTGCAATTCAATATGACAGTAACAATTAACAGACAGTGAAACAAACCTCTGCACCTCGCCTGAGCATTAAGTGAGCAGTTAACATCTGAGAGTGACAATGGTTCTCCTGAGAGGAAGTCTGACCACCTCTGCGCTGAGAAGCTGGAAAGTGCCAGTAGCTCTGACTTCTGAAAGGGAGAAGCAAGGCATGACTGTATAACCAAGCACGTCCATTAGTAGAGCCAAGCTCCCAAGGGAGGTTCTAACGTCAGTGCCCCAGGTGAGTCAGTAGAGGTCATCAGGGATTAATGAGTGTCCTGGCATGGAAAAACAAAGTTAACATTCAAATTATCAGTCATCTTAAAGATGAGCAATTCACAAATGGCCAGTGAAAGTGATGATGGCAAATTCATTGCTACTGAGGTGACCTATGCAGACAGTCTCACAGGGGAGATGAGATTTGGACTGGTACAGACTGCCTACGTAAATAATGCTGGTCCTGCAGATGGGAAGGATCCAAGTCCTATAAATCATTCAGAAATTTACTGAGTTTCTCCTAAAAACAAATTGGCTTTTTCATCCCTGCTTCTACTAGGGGAAAGTTTCACAGCCTTGTTCATTTGCCAGCTACATCTTCTTGTTTCTAAATTGCATTTATTCATGGACAGTTATATGTAGCTGTTCTTGTGCCAATTTTGTACTTTCTTGTACCTTACTCTCCTTCCTTCCTGATGTTTTTCCTTTCAGTGTATTAATAGATACAGAGGGGATCTGACTGCTGTGTTTTGCTGAGCTGTGTGCCAAGTTCCTTTAGATCTTTTCTTGAAATCAGCTTGCTGTTTCCTCATCTTTCCTTTGTAGCACCTGTTCCTCATTACCCAGCAATTTTCCATGGTATTCCTACTTTACTAAAGTCTAAATAAGCTTTTCTGCACTGTTCTTATTTAAAAATAACATCCAAAAATAACAGCAACAGCAACAACAACAAAAAAAAAAAAAACACAAAAAAAAAACAAACAATGCTATCATCTGTTTACCATCTGTTTAGAGGGGTACCACCTAGCCTATTTCTCATATGCCAGGCATAGCTATTGGACTGGATATTGGGTTAGATTGGATACTAGGAAAAAGCTCCTTACCAGAAGGTGAAGCAGGCTCCCAGGGCAGTGGTCATGGCCCCAGGCTGCTGGAGTTCAAGAAGCATTTTGACAGTGCTCTCAGACACAGCGTTTGATTTTGGGTGGTTCTGTGTGGAGCCAGTGGTTGGACTCAATGATCCTTATCAATCCTTTTCAACTTGGGATACTCTGTTTCCCCTGTTGTTGGTCAAAGGGATGGAGAAAAGTCAGGAGTGATGGCGTGGTGTTCAAACTGGGAAAAATGGCATGGAATGTAGGGGGTGTTTTAATGTTTGGTTTTGTATTATAGTACCCAAACTGGCAGGAAATCATATTAATTTTCCCCAAGGTGACTCTATTTTGCCAGTGATTGTAACTGGTAATTGACCCCCCACTATTTATTTTGACCCACAAGACATTTTGCAATATTTTTTTCTGTTGTTTTGCTGAGGAGAGTGGTTGAGAGAAAGGTTGGGACTTTGACCCTTAGCCAAGGATAACCCATCACAATTCCATGAGACAAAAATCTAAAAGAATTTCCAGACAGCTATAGGAGGTCATTCTAAGATAAGTATACTGGAAGTAACATGAAGTAACATTATATTAATTCCTCCGTACCAAGTACTATCCCACTTCACTGCTGTGGAAATCCACTAATACCATATTGGTGTGATTTTGAAATGCTGGAACTGTGGATAAATTAGTAAGGGTATTTATTTATTTTTTTTCCAGTTAAATAATGAAAATATGGAAGGTTTTAAAACATAATTCTTGCACTTGTTTTGGAAGACATTAACACCAATATAATTCATTCACCTTCCACCATTGTGCAAGAACAGTGTAAGGAATAGAAAGATCACACAGTTAAATGCTTTGGTTGATAGCATTTTTAAGTGGCTGTTGTGTGTTTAGAATTCTGTAAACTGAAGAATAAATGCAGAGTTTTCATTTCCAAGCCTAAAATGGATACCAAAAATTGCCAGAGATCATGCTGGGACTATTTCCAGGTGGACAAGGACCTACAGGATTGATTATGTAGGGTAATGAGAGATTTCCACTGTAAGTTTCCACTAAAGATTTTTTTCTCTCCTCATCAAACCGTTCAGCTTTTAATCCAAAAGAGAGAGATCTAGGTTGTTCACTACTACATAGCAAGTAAAGATTTTATTGGTAACTGTAACCTCTATAGCTGTTCTTTATTCAGCAATTCAAATAACACTGGGCTTTCTAACAGTTCATTTCCATGTACTGTTGTACGTACTTTCCTGAAGAAGTAATTCAGCTGTCTTAATGTCTTCAGGATAGACCTTTACAATTCTGATTTTTGTGTTTAGAGGCTGAACACAAATCAGGATGAAAATATCTCCAACCACTTGCGAGATAACCCTGTTGTGAGGAATTTATAAATGAACAGACCAAACACACTGTAGGAAGGAAAATGCAAAGAAAGAGGCATTGGCGCTGGCATGGCTTTTCAGCATCTCAGTGGGAGAGCTGCAAATAAACAGTGGTGTCCTGTGCTACACGGGAGCTTATATGCACTGCCTGTTATTCCTTACTTATGAAAGTGCTGACAAGGGAAAATTCTGTAAGTTTCTTTCTCTGTTTGGACTGAGCTCCTGTTTTCAAACTTTCTGAAGTGTCCTGCATCTTCTGTAATGAGCTGGTGAAACTGCTGGTGTTTTCTTCTCTTTTGTCATCCTTCACTTAAAGTAGGAATCACCTACAGAATAACAAATAACTAGAACACAACTTCTTTAGATATGATTAAAGCTAATGACATTATGTTGTGTTCCTGTATGGAACAGAATAATGATAATACCTATGTATGAAATGAGTTTTTCCAGGTCTGAGATGAGAACATTTGTTTTCTTTCTGCAGAAGTTTCCTCTTCCCTTATTTTGCATTAAGTATTTGTCTCTCTTTATTTGTCTCTCTGATCAGTGTCTGATCTCACTGAATTTTACCACAGATCTTTCTTAACTCCTCTTTTCCGTACAGAAAGCCAAGATCTTTTTACAACCTTTCCTTATCAGTCACACATTTGGTCTCCATGTCTACTCAGACTGCTATGAAATAGGATGATCCTGATTAGCAGCAATATAAATTATGACTGTAGCTAAAATTACACAGCAGAAGAAAAGGTTCAGTATTTCTGAGCATTTCAGTTCTTACAGGGGCTTTTGTTTGTCTATGGATACCTAAGATGTTTTCTCAAAGATTTTTTAAGTCAGGTCAAGCCAACTGTGTAACAGCATGCCATTTCTAATCCTTTCTTCTCAGGTATTACCAGATAAGAGCTGGACTGAAGATTCCATCCAGGATTCCCCACAGGCTGTTTGCTACAATTGCAGAACAGACAGGTAAACTGGTCCCTGAGGACTCTGACATGACTGCAGATGGTGTGGCACAGAGAAGGAGGATGTGTGTGGGGAATGGGTGAAGGATGGCCATGAATTTCTGAGTCTGACCTGGATTTTCTTTATGATCTGTGGCTGCTCTTGACTTCATTCTGGTGTGGGATGTTACTGAGTTAGACTTCAGATGTACAGCAGTGGTCCAGGAAAGTACTGTGCAATCCAGATATTGCTTAGATGTATATGTATATATATTTTTTTTTCCTGGAGTTGCAAGATCTGGGGAGCTTTATGAATTGGGCTGGGACTGAAACATTGACAAAACAAAATTGTATACTGTGGGAAAATTGTTCATTCAAAGACAATTCTTCACTTCTTGCTGTAAAAATGTACACAGTATTGTGCAATGTCTCCCTCATGCCCTATAGAAGTGGGAACATCTAAGTTAATGAACACTAGTGAGTGCTGACAGAAACCTTACCAAATCCATGGCCAAGTTCAGACTGAAGGAAACTGATGCAGACTTGGATTATGATCTTTAGTGTAAAGATATCCACTGATAAAGCGATGTCCTACTGTAGGTCAATTGCAGAGTTTTCCAATAGATGTTCTCCATATATATCTTATAATTTTGACATTTCCAGGCACGCATCACAACAATTGCCAAAGCATCAATTAATTTATTACCAGCACAGATTCTGTAAGTACTTGTAAAATTCAAACTGAATTTTCTCTGCTGGGATTCCATGTGAGAAAATCAGTGGAAATTCATGCCCTCTTATTTTATCTATGATTTTCCTTGCTGACAGTGGAAGAAGTTGTTTCGCTATTCTATGAGATTCCTGGATGAAAATTGTGTCAGTGTTAATGACAGCTAGTACAGAAAAACCAATAGACTCCTTTTCAGTATTGCTCTGAGAGGACAAAAAACTGTGAATGCAAGATTGATGAGTTCTTCAGTTTGAATATTGCATCAAACATAAAAACGCATTTTTTATTATTTTATTACTTTTTACATTTGAACTGATCCAATTAAACATTCTTTCGTGGATTAAATATTCACATCCTTTAATATTTTTTTCCAATTTGAAAGTCTGGTTCAATTAACTAAGATTTAATTATATAATGAAATATAAAATAATTATGGAAACTGTATTTTTATAAAATACAAATAATTATAAAAAATCCAAAGTTGTCTGAAAAAGAAAAAAAAAAGATTCAAGAACTCAAACTCTGAGTAAAGAAATTATTTCTGAAAAAAAAAAATCTATCTCAGTTTGATATACCTTTTTGTATGAAAAAAATCCTTAAGGAAGTAAGAAAATGATTTTTCATTTTGTTCTAGTGTTCCTTCATTCTCTGTAAATATCCTAAATTTTCAGCAGATTCTGGCAGAAGCCGTCTAGAACCAAAATTCTGGAGGCTGGTGGCCCTGCCTGTGGCAGGGGGGTTGGAACCTGATGATCCTTGGGGTCCCTTCCAATCCAAGCCATTCTATGATTCTATGAAGTATAGCTAAAACTTTTCTTTGTATGGAAGAAAAAAAAAAAAAAAAAAAAAAAAAAAAACAGCAACACAAAGAAACAATCAAAAAAACCCACACTCCTGTTCTGTATTGCACTAAGAATGGCAATTTTATGTAAAGAAAAAACTGAACCGTTTTCTCCCTTTCTGTTTTAGTCATGTCAGTATTTTCTTTTGCCTGATACACCTCAGTGTTCTGTTTCCTTTCACTTCTTCTCAAAACAATTCATATTAGACATGAATAGCAGAGAGGCAAGGCAGGCAGTGTGGTTACAGAATTAGCTGCTGACTTGCACAGTGCTAATGAAATCCAGACTGGAGTTTAATAGCTTTATAGAGCTAACATAAAGACAGGGGGTTAAAGCTTTAAATGTTTTCTTCTGGGCTATCTATGCAAGTACTTAATTGATTTCATAGGTCTGTGAGAGAGCATTATTTAATGGGACTGAACTTAATGGCAAGGAAGCTGTAATATTCTTCTAATTCTCATGCCAATGAACACTCTCTGAGTTTGGGCATAGCTGGGATAGGAGGTAATTAAATTTCTTCTAGCGTTTCCTAGCATAGCAGTACTATACTAATACAGGGTGGCATTATACAGAATCAGAGTCATAGAATGATTTGGGTTGGAAGAAACCTCAAAGATTACAGAGTTCCAACCCCCCTGGTGTATGCAGGGCTGCCAAACCAGTAAATCAGGCACTAGATCAGGCTGCCCAGCAACCTGTCCAACCTGGCCTTGAGCGTTTCCAGGGATGGGACATTTACATAGTGAATAAACTCCTAATTCACCTAAAAGAATGAAGGCAAAAGTAGTTGAGTTTGGTGTAAACAAAATCTTTTTGATCTTTCCCTTATCGGGTTCTTAGCATCATGAGAACTAAGCAAAACTCCCTAGAAATCATTAGTAGTAATATTTTTCTTCCAGTGCATGCAGCATTTTTAATTAAGTTCTGTGGGATTTGCAATAAAACTATTAGAACTGACAGCATTAGCAATGTTTAGTTTGCAATCTGCTAGGTATTTTCAGATGCATGATCAGAAAAGACATAATTCTGAAGAATTCAGCAGAAGTGAAGCCACTGTGTAGCAGTTGCCAGCATGCCCAGGGCAGAACTAGGCGTACAGGAGTTCTAATGAGCTACCACATGGTCCGTAAGTCTGCTGCATCCTGACTGTGACTATGCTGTAAGAAAAGAATGAGCTATGTACACCAGCTAAAACAATAGAAAAGTGTGCTGAGGACCAGTATCCCTTATATCTTGGCACTGTAGATCATTAAGGCTGCACATTATCTTGTGTTGACGCAGACTGTAGCATATACATATATACATGTAAATATAAATACATAAAAGTATATACAATTATTTAATACCTCTCACCATTGTTAGTCACAGAATCACAGAATTGCAGGGGTTGGAAAGGACCTCAAGAGATCATCGAGTTCAACCCCTCTGCCATATTAGGTTCCCTAGAATAGTTTGCACAGATAGGTGCCCGGGCAGGTCTTTAATATCTCCCTAGAAGGAAACTTCACAACCTCTCTGGGCAACCTGTTCCAGTGCTCCATCACCCTTACTGCAAATAAGTTCTTCTGCATGTTAGCATGGTACTTCCTTTGTTCAAGTTTTAGGCCTTCAATTCTTGTCCTATTGCTATGCACCACCAAGAAAAGAGTGCAGTGCATTTCCTTAAAAACAAAAGTAGCCTGGTGACTAGTGACTTCCTCAGTGCTGAAGAGGAGAAAGGGAACAAGGCTGGCTGAGCACAGCCTTTGGTTTCTTTCATGTTGGTTTTGAAATCCCATGAGATTTAGCTTCATGTCTCTGAATAGGCATCGTGACTGATGGAGCCTGCTTTTATCTTATGAAGAGCAAGCTATGCTTACTACTTTTTCTTGGCATGGAAACTTTATCAGTTTCAGCGTCAGTTCTGAAGGGCTGAGCTGATGTAGATGTGCCTTAAAGCCAAACTCTAAAAGCGCCTTTTTGAGTGGATTTATTTTTTTTTTCATCAGAATGGTTTATTAAAATTGTGGTACAATGATGTTCACCTGCAGCATACATTAGGCTGAATGTGAAAAGCAGACAAAGGATCTGGGAAAGTGAAAGCAGCATCTCATAGCAGCATATTGGTATAATTCACTCACTGGCTGAGTTGTTTTGTGATAGGCTAAATGTCTTCCAGAGGAGTTCGAACTGTTGTATAAATTTTAGCGCAGGAATTCGGAGAAATATGAACATGCATTAAGTGTTTTCTAAGCTATAGGTAGAAGATACAAGGAGCTTATCTTTAATATATTTTTAAAACATTTTTATTTTAAAATTTGCCTATGAGCACGCAAGATCATTGGTGAATGGAAGAAATAATAATGGTCTGAAGCATTTAAGATTAGCTGTTTTTATCTTAGTTTCCTGTACCATGGAAGAGTGGAGAGCAGTGGAGACCGGATTAATACAGGTGGAGGTTTCTTAAAGAAGGTGATATGTTGGGGTAAACAGATGAAGTTGAATTACGTTGTTGAAGAAGCCAATGAAGACAAATCTCAATAAATGTTTATTTTTGAGTTTTCTCTGCAGTGTTTTGCAGTAGTATACATGCCATCTGGATGTATTACTTTATGGAAGGAGATATATTCTTTATTAGTGAAATTTGCAGTAAGATTTTGCTGTATGAACTGTTTTTGGATCTCCTGTATCTTATTCTCATGCACTATAGCAATGAGTAGCTGCTTACCTTTTTATGTTACAGATAAGGGTAAAATATTATGTGAACATTAGGAAAGAATTACTTAGCATAGTTTATATCTAAAGAAATTACTTAGGACTTCGATTTGAGTCCAGATTTCCTTTGCTTATCCCCTGCAGAATCGCCACATGACCTGTTTTCAAGAAGACTTTCTAAGCAGACAAATATTTTTGGCAACTTGTTCTGAAAATATGAAAAATAATAGAAAGTGTTTAAGATAAGTTGTTACCTATCAGTCTAATCTTTAGTAGACTGTAGCAGTATTATACCTAATTTTACTCAGTTAAACTGGGCTATTTGCTAAGTGCAGAAAGCCAAAGAGAGACAAGGAATGTGCATTTCTTTGTTAGTTATCTCCAACAAGGCAGTGGAGACAAGATATGATATTACACATTAGATCTTTTGATGCTGTAGAGATGTTTCATGCACATCTGGTTTGACGATTTCTTATAAAATGGTATAACTGACATTAAGTGTCAAGGAAAAATTAACGGTATATAAATGGGACATGAGGAAAGGAAACTAGAAGAGAATATGAGAAAATGAAGGACGTTACTGCAACCTGTGCCTGGATTTTTCTAGACCAGTTCCTGGTCCACCATTATGAATACATGCAAGATAATTTTGCCTTTTTCTATAAATTAAATGTTAATTCTGTGACTATCTCAGACCTAATGTCAAGGGCCAACTATATTTATAATATGTCCCTTGGCCAACTATTTATGTCTGTTTTT